CTTACACAATGATTCAACAACTGGGATCTCATTGTATTAAAAAGTTTTTTAAGTGCAAGAGAAATAACCAACAGAGCTAAGAGTCAACCTACAATGTGGGAAAAATTTTTTACCAGCTACTCCTCAGACATAGGACTACTATCTAGAATATATAAAGAATACAAAAAAGTCAGACCCCCCCAAATACAAAGACCCGATTAAAAAATGGGCATCTGAAATGAACATACATTTCTGAAATAAAGAAGCAAAATCAGCAAATAAACATATGAAAAAATGTTCAACATCACTGGTTATTTCAGAGATGCAGATGAAAACAATACTGAGATTCCACCTCACTCCAGAAAGAATGACTGCTATCAAGAAATCAACCAATAATAAATGTTGGCAGGACTGTGGGGAGAAAGGAACCCTTCTTCATTGTTGGTGGGAGTGCAGACTGGTGCAGCCACGGTGGAAATCAATGTGGAGATACCTCAAATAACTAGGATTAGAGATCCCATTTGACCCAGCTATTCCCCTGCTGGGTATCTTCCCAAAAGAATTACACCACAGTTATATATGCTCACCCATGTTTATAGCAGCACAGTTTGTAATAGCTAAATCTTGGACAGCCTAATTGCCTATCAACTGGAGACTGGATAATGCAGATGTGGTTTTTCTATAAAATGGAGTACTCAGCCATATAGAATAAGAAGATACTTTTATAGCTGAATGGATGAACATTGAGGACATACTCCTAAGTAAAAAGAATAGGCCACACAAGTGTAAATATCAAATAGCTTCTCTGCTATGATAAACTAAAAGTATAAATAAGAATCACAATGTATAATCAATATTTTGTAATAGGAAAAAAATGTCTAAACGTATCGGGGAGGTGGGAGGGGTAGGGGAAAGCTAAGAAGGGAAAAGAAAAAGTAAGAGAAAAGGAAAAAAATGGAAACAAAGTCTGTAAATAGGAAAGGGTTGAGGGGTTAAAGGGAGCACTAGGAAATGTAAAGGTACACAACCCAATGAAGAATGTAACTACGTGTTCTACTTATGTTCCAATAAAGAAAAAAGGGGAAAAACGAGTGCAGGAATGGCTAGAAGGAGACCTTATGCTATGTTGGATTCACAGTCTTGATGAGACTGGGGATGGGAGGGATTTACCTAATTTTCTTTTCATTGAATGCTTTTTGTAAAGGAGGGTCACTTTCAGCGTGTTGGTCTTTTTAACTTTGGGCATTTTCGGGGAACAAGAAATCCACTTAGAGCTGTCAGTGGTTGAGGTGTTTAGGGTAGAGCATCATCCTGATTGGCTTTAAGACTTGCCCTCAGGGGACTGGTGGAGCACCCTTCTGTGTGTCTGGGTGGTTTGTAGAGGAGTGGCCTTTGGGTCTGTGTCTGGTTCCTCCTCATTCTTCTCTGACAATTCCCTGCTCTGTTTTCTGTCTGCTATTAGCTGAGTAACTTTGGTCCTTTGAGTCCTTTGTTCATGGTGTTCCTGTTTTGGAGCTATCTGATCATGGAAAAAAAATCTCCAAAACTGTATGCCAAATTAAATCTCTTGGTTTTTAATTTGTGCATATTAGGCACTGGGTCTCAGTGATGAGAAGGCTAATATATCCATCAGCATCCCAACTTTCAGGAAAATTCTTAATTCTAAATCATGCGCATGTGTGATATGAAATCCTCATTAATTTTAGTCTGCCTTACTTTCTGTTCTAAAAATTAGCCCTCTTAAATGCATGAAGAAATTTTCACAAAAGAATTTTGGAATGATAAAGAAAGAGTAGCCCAATTTCCCTGAGATTGTGCACATCTTGAAGTAGCAGTACACATTCTTGCTGGAATGTAGACCAAGGCACGGATTAGTGCAAGGTGATTAGAAAAATGAGTTGCTATTCAGATTTTATAGGATGTCTTCCTGGGTGTAATTGTGTAAAACACCTGGTTTGAAATTTGTGAATCTCTAGGTGACAAAAGCCCTCCTTTACATGTAACTACAGGTACTTATTCAGAATCCATCTAGAAATGTGTTTTTTTTTTCCTTTCACTTTTGTTTCTAACATCTTTTCCAGTAGTCTAGATTGGTAACCCCTGACTGCATGTAAAGCATAGTACTGACAATCGGGGGAAGGAGGTTTAAAAATTACGAATCTTCTGTTAGTTTCTGTACACATTATGGCGTTTTATATTGGCTTCTCTTGAAAAATGCTTGCTGAAATACTTGTTTCACGCTCTCTTCCTCTAAAGACAAAGGCACGTGATTATCTGATGCATATAGCTTATAGAGGCTGAGAAGCATATATGAATTGTCTTTAGAAATAGCAGAGATAATGTGGGTGAAAGTAGCCCTACACATGATTTAGACTAATTTTATATTTAAAAATAAGAGAGAGCATTTACTCTTTCATTTTAAGGCAATTGAGTTAAAAAGCATCGAAATTTAATAGAAGGATTCCCTTGCGTCCCCTTACAGTGGGAGAAGATACTGCCCGCCTCCTCACTTCCACGGGAGAGCTTCGTCGGGGAGCACTTTTATCTCAGGTAATGTCATGTGTATTTATATTAGGCTGTTTCATCACTTCAGCAAGTTGCCTTCCATGCCAATGGCGGTGTTTTATCCTGTTGCTTCCTCACAGTAAATTCCAGTCCTTCCCATGCTTGGCATGCCCACCTGTTCTCTCACACCTGTTTCAATTTATGAGCCGTATGTTGTAGCCACAGCTGAGAGCCACTGTGGCTCCAATGTGAATCTCATAAATATTTCATAAATTCAAAGTTTTCCACACTTCAAAATGACTTGAAGGCACTGACTTTGCTGAAAAAAAAAAACTCATAGAAATAGATACATAGTCTTTTATTATTATTTAAGCAAAGATGAAACTTACTGCTTATAAAATAACTGCCATTATGGAGATGGCACTGCTTACTAGGTTTGATTCCTATTAAACAAACCTACTAAAACCAATAATAAAATAATTCAAGTGCAATTATTGGCCTGAAATATATATATGAGGCAGAAACTCATTGCATTTCCTACATTAAATAAAAGACATATTGCTTAAAACAATAATATGTTCATCAAAAAAGTCAATAAAGGCTAATTGACATATTCTTTCATAAGAATTAATAGATTTTCTGCAAACTGTGCTTTTTTAGTAACAGATATTTAGTCAAATGTACATAAATAATAAAGAAAATGGTTTGGTTTTAATTGAACCAAGAAGGGGTAGAGCTGTCCAATTTCAAGCTTGATGGATTAAAAATAACCAAAAGATGTGAGGAGGATTTTGGATTTCTATCTTACTGCTCAGTTTTGTTTCTGCAGTATGAGCCGATGTAAGCAGTGGATACCCACATTGTCTAGAAGATGAAGATTGCTGTATCCTGGACTTTCATTCCTTGCTGTTTAAATCAATTGCAATTGCAAAAGACTTGAAAAAAAAAAAAAAAAAAAAAAAAAAAAAAAAAAAAAAAAAAGGAACAAGAAAAAGCCCAAAACAAAAACAACAAATAGTAAGACAACCTGATCCTCAGAGATCTCTAAAAACATTTCATTGTACTTAAGATAATCTGTGAAATGGCCATTTGTAAAACAAATAGTTTGAAATGAGGAATAGGGTAGCTAAACCAAGATATACTCCTACAAATTAATTTATTGAGATGACATTTTGTTCATTAGGGAGGAGTGAATTTTCTAATGGAGAATCAGGATACTTTTGTAGGAAAAGGAAACCTGGACATAGATGAAGTCAATTAATATTTACCTCTTTCTAAATGCATATTTTATGTTGTACAGACACATGCATACCATTGGAATGACATTTTAGTATTCTATCTTATTCCTTATGCTTTGTATATTATCATGATATAATAAAAATTGAGTTTTGATTTTTGTAGCTTCACTCCAAAGTTTATAGTATTAAACTCCCTCCAGGGTGGGCTCATTTGTCTTAAGCACTCAATACCATGACTTCTTTAAAAGAACAATTCCTGCTTGTCTTTTAAAAATACATATGCTCATTATAGAAAACTGAGAAGCATAAAGAACAAATATTACAAAATCACTCAGAATTGAAAGCAGCCTTTATTTTGCTGTACTTTAGTCCTTGCTAATACATTTTCAAAGAGTCTTTTTATGTGTATACATATATTCAGCACAGAATATATCTTTTATCAGATAATGGTCTATAATCATGGTAATGCAAGACATACCACCCAGCTTTTCATGGGAGAAAAATTTCTTTAAAAAATGGCACCTGACCTGGGGTATTAGAACTTGGCAGAGTTACAATTAAAATACTGTATTTCCTAAATGTTTAATTTTAAATGAGATGCAGAACAATTCTGTAAAATAAACCTAACACTTTTAGCAGGTATAGCATTAAACTACTATCAAGAATGCACATTATTATTTAATTATATTAAAATATATTTTTGTAGTATGGTCAGTGTTCATAATCAAACTCTACATATGAGCATATCTGCCTGTACTTCTCCCTTGCACACTTTCAGCTCTGTCACCCATGTGACAAACGAGTCCTGATGTACAGTGCTCAGAGATGACTTTACAGCTGGACATGTAAAATGCTTCTTTTCTATTAAATATAACAAAGATATTCATATGTTGCTTAATTTATAATTTCTACTGTTTATCTATTGTCATATCCTGTCACTCAAAATATTTAAAGATCTTGGTTGTTGAAATATACACATAAAATTCTCTATACAATAAAAATAGATGCTATATATAAACGCACCCAGAGGTCTATGGCTATGAACAGAAACCCTCTTTTGGATATGGAGCTACTAGCAAAGAACATTTGCCTTTTCCTCTTTTCTTAACATTTGCCCCTACAGATCTGAAGATGGCAAATGAACTCTGCTATTTTTAGCCCTGTCTGAGGTACTGTGTTATTTCTTAATGGCTTTCCTAAACCTGCCTTAAATTTTAAAAATTGTTCTTTTATTAAATTCTTCTCATAGTCCTCAATTTGAATTTGCCATCTAATTGCTAATGGCACCTTGATTGATACCAACTAAAGATTTCAGGTGATGGTAGATATCATGAAGAAAGACAGCCCTGACACTCCAAATGACTGTGACACCTTGAGAGACACCAGCTGTCGAGACTTCAACGTGCTTGCTTTTGTGTCTGAACACTCAGATTCTGGTTTCAAGATGGTGCCTTGAATGCTATTATCTCCTAGGGACAGAAGGGAAAAAGGCTTATTGCTGCCCTCTAGCTCTTCTGAGAGTACTAATCTCACGGTGAAGACATGGCTTTCATGACCTACCCACCTTCTGAAGACTCTGCATCTTGATGCTATCGTGTTGGCAACTGAGCCCCAAAATGAGTTTTAGAGGGGACGAGCATTCAATCTATAGCAGACACACAGGTGATAATAGGTGAGTAGTACAGATTTAAATAATTTATTTACTCTACAAAGTAGGTATAAATCAAGCCAAATTGGTATAACTCTGGTCCACAGATACATTTGAATTAATGATGAATAAGGAACAAAAACTTTGAATACTGTTAAAATATTTTCTCCTAAGTCTGTAAAATAGAAGCTCATTTAAATTTAACATTATTTTTCTGAGGTTTATGATACTTTCCCATTTCCTTTTAGTTTAAAATTATTTGGTTAAAACTACTCAACAGCATGAAATGTAATTTATATAATACTCATAAGAAATATCCACTTCTTCATACACAGGTGAAGTATGATTTTTCTTATAATCACTATTCTATATAGTTTCTTATATTTGTTTATTTAAATTTTGTTTCCGTATTTTGAAGCAACAAGATTTAAATTTTTATGCAACCACATTGCTTCTTCATGAATCAAATAGGTAAGAAATAACTTATCCGCTCCTAGAAATAAGCCTTGATCTTATTTAAGTTAAGACTTTTTGGAATTATTTTTCTTTTCTGTTGTGTTCTCATACATCAAGAACTTTAAATATGAAGCCCAGGACTTAGTGAATATAATAATAGTAAAGATTTGTTGGTAGAGAAAAAATTTTATTTCCATTGTTTAACACAGACATTACCACTGACTGCTGAGAAAAATTATGTGATTGTGTTTTATCTGTGTATCATGAATTTTTGTTACAGTTAAAGATCAATTCATTATCAAGAACTGCAAATTAGTAGGTTATATATTTTATCCCTTCTCTCTCTCTAATGGTTTATTTCATTGATGGCTGTTTCTATACAATAGGAATATCAATATGAGTTTTTAAAGTGTTATTCTTTGTAGTCACATTTTACTTATTCCATTTCATTATATATTTTTAATTTAAAAATTAAGTAGTTAATTTTAGTTATTAGTTTTATTCATTAATTGCTACTAGCTATTGTACTTAGTTCTAGTTACAATGAGTTATTCTAGTTTCTTTTAGTTATTGATTTCTACTTTTGTTTTCAATAACAATTAAATTTTTTTCTTGAGACTTTCATTTTCACATAGTATAGAGAAAGCTGCAAATAATAGTGAGAAAAATATGATAGTATACAAAATCTGTTATCTGAGGCTACCTCAAGGAGACTGAAGATCCAAGAAGAATGTCCATGAGAAAAGGAACCACCAAGTGTCTCACCTCTGACAGAGAAAAGAATGACACATCTGCCGCCATAGAAATGGTTAACCAGGAATAGACTAAAATGTTAATACATTATTAAAAGCCCAAGTATGTATCAATAAATTTAATGGAAAAGATAAAATAGAAGCCCAAGTGTGAACTAGGGTTGGTTTTGAATAGTAGAAAGGAAAGTCATATTTATTTTCACATTTTTTTTTGGTACTGCATGTTGGAATCAGGGCTTTCACATTGAGCTACATACTCAGTCTGTTTTTCTCCTTATTTATTATTTTGAGACGAGGTTTCACTATTTTGCTATGATGTTAAGCAGCCCAGGCTGGGCTTGAATTTGCTATCTTCCTGCCTCAGTCTCACAGAGAGCTAGGATCACAGGTGTGTACCACCCCACCTGGAAATATCTTACCCAGAGCCTTCCACCAGAGGCCACATTAGATATTGGCCATCAGAGCATTGAGAACTTTCTTCCATTAGAAGTAATAGTGATTGTCAGAGAGGGGCAGACAAAGATTCTCATCTATTTCCCAAGCTCTTCTTTTATCATATAAGTAAAAGCTATAGGATACTGAGGAATCAAGAGCTTAACACGTTCCAACAAATTGAGTTTAAGCAAAACTCCTTTGCTTCTTGAGGAAGGACAGAAACGAAATCCATTTACCTCAGTAGAAGGGATAATAAATCATATCCTAAGATTCAAAAAGCCACTACCACTAGGGAAATGGCAGAACAAATTATCCCTGAGTGAGAGTCAAGGAGTTGGCTGTGGTCACTTCTTAATATTATGCCTTATGGCTGAGAGAAAAGTCAGGAACTCTAAAGATCAAGCACAGATATATAGGTAAAGTTTGGTTGCTACAAGGATAAGGAAAATGAATTCTGAAGATACTTTGCCCTTGAGACCCGTGTGCAAAAGGTCAGCTGAACTCTGAGACTGATCAAGAACACAGGGTGTGTCCTCTTTGTCTCCAACAAGACTTGGAGATACTCGGGGTAGTTGTGCCAAGATGTATCACAACTAAAGTAGAGCGGGACACTGAATAAAGCCATCTTGGATGCACACACCCATTCTAACCACTAGGGGACAGTACTCTACCAATAGGGAATCAGACGCATGCTTTCCCCAGTAAGAGCAAGGACAACCTTGAAATTCAGTTTAATTCTTCACTAGAGCAGGTTTATCTCCTTAATCTAATGGTGGCTCAAAGAAATGATGATTTTCATCAAAACTATTATTTCATTTTGTCTTCACTTTTTTTTAACATGGTATATGACATCTAATAAAAAATTATGAGCCACACAAAAAACAAGGTGAAAAAAATCCAGTTTTACCTGAGAAAGCAAGTAATGAAACAAACTCAGGAATGTCCAAGATGGGAGATTATTAGAGAAATATTTTTTAATGGCTATGACTAACATGAATTATATGGCCAGAAAGATTGGCTAATTTACATAAATAGACGAGGAATTCAGAAAAAGAACTATAGAAATAGCCAAAATAAAAATATGACAATATAAATTTTTTCTAAACTTAACAGTATTTTAGAGACAGATGAAGAAAGTCAACTTGCAAAAATGCCAACAGAAATTATTCAAAGTAAAACATAAATAGGAAAAATGGTTAAAAAGACTAGAGAACATAGCAGTTGCTTATGAAAACCCTAAGTTCTAACATACATACAATTGAAGTCCCAGGAAGGAAAAAGGGAGAATGAATAAGTTAAAGATAAAAAAAAAAGGGCCAGGAATTCAGCTCAGTGTTTCCACTACCTGCCTCACAAGCGCAAGGTCCTGAGTTTGATCCCCAGCACAAAAAAA